AAATAGGGGGACTGGGAATGTAGTTCAGTGATAGTTTCCTTGCCTAGGCTTGTGAGGCCTTGGGTTCAACTCCCAGCACTGAAAAAAAGAAAGAACAAAGTGGCTGGGTGGCGCATTCCTGCAATTCCAGAGACTCAGGAGGCTGAGGCATGAGGATCAAAAGTTTGAGGCCAGCCTGGGAAACTAGTGAAAGCCTGTCTAAAAATTAAAAAATTAAAATTTACTGGCAGTGTTACTAAGTGGTAAAGCACTTGACTAGCATGTACAAGACTGTGGGTTTAATCCCCAGCACTGCAAAACAAAGCAAAACAAGACAAAAGAAACCAGGAACAAATACATGAGAATTCCCTTGGTAGTGTGGGCAAGGGGTGGAGGAGGATGGTGTTACTACATACTTTCTCACTCATCATAATCAAAGTCCCTAAGAAGAGTCAGATTCAGCCCCAGGATATTTATGAGTAAGTCTGAAAGTGCCTGGGACAGGAACCCAGCCAGGGCAGCAGCCAGGTAAGACTTGATACTGCTGGCACCTGTGGAAGTTAATTTGATGGGAGTGTCCAGCCTGTGCTATCTATATCAAGGGCTCATGGATAGTAGCACATGGAGTTCTGATCCCACAGAGAGAACAGTCCCTCAAGTTTGCAACGTGACCTGCTGACTAGCCTGCCCCATGAGGTGACATATTTCTAGATCTCTCTCTGGGGGACAAGGCCAGCCTCTACTGCCCAGGGGCAGTTTGTAGCCAAAGGACCTGCTCAGAATGTGCAGCTCAAGCAGAGGCAAAGGGGCATCTTCCCAAGTCTTCTGTGGAGTAACATTTTATTCATCCTTTAGAACATTGTGTTTTCTTTTGATTCTGTTAATCCCAATTAAGTAAATCATTTTCTGCTTTCTGATATTCTAGTGATGTAACTAGTTTTTGGAATCTTCATGACACATTAATTCAATATCTTCTTTTTTTTGTTTTGTTTTATTTATTTATTTATTTTTATTTATTTATTTATATTGGTTATTCAAAACATTACAAAGATTGCAGAATCACATCGGCTACACATCCACATTTTTACATAATGCC